AGCAAAATATATATGGAGCTTACTATAACCAGGCATATAAAACAAATGATTGGGCTCTCGTGGTTTCACTTGGACGGTATTGTTTGCGCTATTGCAATTTATTATGAATTTTATTTCGAAAATTTGAATAGTTTAGTAGAGTTTTTTTTATATATATTATTTATAAAAAAAATTAGGAAGAATTTTAAAAAAGTGGAGAGGGAGACTTTTTTTTTTTTTTTTCCAACTAATGAAAGTATAAGATTTATTTGTATAATTGAATGCATAAATTACTTGTATTTTCATTATTTTGTAATTATTTTCTCACTCTCTATTTTTCTGATGTTCTCCCAAATATTAAATAAATTATTTTAAATCCTACAACCAATACAAATTAAATAAACTATGAAATAATTCGAGTTTCTAATACTTTTTTAGTTGACCTAATCATTTATGTATGTGAGAAATTATTAAATGCAATTAACTCCATTGTAATAGATCAATTAGGTGAAAACATGTCAACATAAATAAAATTTTAATACATATATAGGCTTAGTTCTAGGGTTGGATCGGTTAAACCAAGAACCAATTCAAAATTATCAGTTTAATGATTTGAATATCTAGAACCAAACTAATATATTCAGTATGTTTGTTTGAACGGACTGGATAAGGGGAGATTGTACTCCATCAAACTGTTAGTCCTGGGATACATTATCCCCGGACTATTTGGTTAGACTGGATTTGTATTCTATGTTTGTTTAGTTATGGGATTAGATATCTGGATTAGATTATTTTTAGTAAATCTGATATTTGGTTGAATGGACTGGATAAGCATAAATGTTCAAAAGACTATTTTACCCTTGTAATTTATAATCTTTATTTAATATATAATTTTAAATTTGTAATCTATAATTTATAATTTAACAACACTAAAAAATTTTAATTTATAAGGCCATAATTTTTAATTTATTATTTTCAATTAAATTAAATTTATATTATATATTTTTTAAATATATAATTTTAATTTAACAACACTAAAAAAATAATTTTATTTAATATATAAATTTAATTTTTAACATTAGTGATTTGTATTGATATCTAAGGTTTGATGTGTGTATTGATATCTATCTTAGTCATTTCGTTTAGTGATAAAATTGTAAAAAAAAATTAATTCATTGAGTATGTAGACAAAAAGTAAATGGTATATAGAAATAGAATCACCCTATTTTAGTTGTGATTTACTAGTAACTTTAGCTAAAATACCAATTTAGCTACTCACTTAAAATTACTCACAAAAGGCCTCAATAGACTAGTTAAAATGATTTGATTTAAGTCTATTAAAAGAGGTTGTTGAAGAGGGGGGAAGAAAAAAGAACCAAGACACTTTGGTAATGACGGATAAGTGGCCTTTGGCATGAGTCTCAGGATTCCTAAATTTCCCAAAAATGTTTAGATACGACTCTGAAATCTTGCAAAATAGTCCATTTTTGGCATTTGATTCAAACATCGATTTTCCAAAAGAAATTGCCGGATTTGGACTCTTTTTGTGTTTCCACTGTTTCACATTGCACTTGTGAAATCAGATTCAGAACCAACACAGATGGAGTTCGAACTATAAGGGCTATTCATTCTTCCAAAAAGGAGCATGAAAAGCCGAGTTACAGATAGTGATATTGTTGTAAATATAAATCATATTTATAGGTGTTTTATTTTATAGTAAAAGGTCACTATTAAGGTATATCGTTGTATTTGAAAATTTTATATAAAATTTAAGTTTATATATCATTAGTCAATAAGAATATGTTCAAGTAGAATTTAATGATGAAAAATTATAAAATGTAGTCATGGTGATAGAAAAAAGAAATGGTAAGAAAAAGGGTAAGATAGTCATTTAGAAAATTTTAGGGCATAATATTAGCTTGCCGGAGTAATTTGTAATGAGATTACAAATCTCATGAAGGGAAATGTTTTTCAAATGTGAGGGGAAAATTTGTATTAAATAGAAATCTCAGGAGATGTCAGTGTAATTTACCCTTGATTTAAAGTGTTAGAATTAGTTAATTACATAATTTACCTTGAACATGCACATCATAGGGTGGAATTCATGATAAAATAATATAGTTTTATTCAGATTGTGTCATTTACATTTTATATTGTTAGATCTGTGATTGATTTTGTATGTGTGGATTTATTGATTTCAATTAATCATTACGAACTTCTTGCAATAATTTACATTATTCATTTTATAAAATTATTTTAATAAATCATTCTTATAAAAAATTAAATTGAACGAACAACATCAATCACATGTATACATTTGTTATTAAAAAAATAAAAGACAAATATAACTTTAAAAATAAATACTTCATTATTTTAAATATATTTTGATAATGTACAGTAGTTTAAATTATTTAAATTTTTACCTAAATAATTTGCTAAAAAAATTGTAAAAGAACAGTTGTTTGATTTGTAGAGGTAAATTCCGTAATGAGACTAAGAAGGCCTAACAAGACGATTCGATGAATTCTACAATATAAAATGTTGACATCATCAGGGAGGAAATCGAGATTTCATTACCGGATGGACCAAATTTCAATTAAAAATTTCATCATATACACTAGTAAACATGTATATATAATACGATATGTTAGTTATATATACACATAATAAATAAATAAATAAATCGAACACTATGGAATTAATTTGGTATTGGATGAAAGGGTTTTTTTTTTTTTTTGGTAAAATAAAAAGAGAATGCACGGTCGAAAAAGAGTGAGATATAATTTTTGTTAAAGGAAACAGTGTCCTTCACAGAAGGAAGGGGGCCATGGCCTCCCTCCATATTTTTTCCCTAGTTCCATCCCTGGACACCATGTTATATAAATTTTTGGGTAATTTCATTTTAGTGAATATGCAAAAAAAATATTTTCAGATTAATGATAACTTTTATAAATATTAAAAAATAAAAATATAATTTTTATTTGTAAATTTATAATTAAATTTTAAAAAATCACTAACATTTAATTTTTCCTAATTTTTTTTGCAAAGTTTTTTATGTCATTTGTGTAGATGATAAATAATTATTCATTTTAATATTTAATACTTATACGTTAAAAAAACAATATAAAATAACGACAATTTTTTTATGATGTATAATATTTTAATGGTATTATATGTCTTAATTATTGAGAAATTGTCAGATGAAAATCCGAATAAGATTAAAAAGGATAATTTTTTTTAAAAAGGTCGTTCTGGAGAGATATCATAATATTTGTGAGTTTTGGTTCTGGGATAGCTGGTTGACAGTTAGATTTAACTCAACTCAAAAAAAGCGACCCACCATCGGAGAAAGCGGAGAATGTAACAACCCCCAACACAAGAGGCAAAGTTAAGAGCAAAGTGTAACACTTCAGCATTCACCAAATTGATACCTGGCTAGTCGTGTCCTCAAAAATTGAGTCCTGTCCACCTCTGTAAAAAGCCAACACATTTCCACTCCACCACCACCCCCGATGGGTAGAAAGTAAAGAATTTGTCTCAGCACTTTATAGTCAATTTGGAAATAAAGAAAAATGTCACTTCTTAAATTTTTTTTACTGGAGTGATTTTTTAAAAAAAATTATATCAAAGTATATATATATATCATATGAAGACGAATCTAAAATGTAATTTTGAAAAATTTTACAAAACAAAAAAATAATTGAAAAAGTCAAAACAAGTCAAAAAAACCTACTTTTTTTTTTATACTTATTTTTGTCCATTTTAAACTTTTTTTTTTGGAAAAAATTTATTTTTTTAAAAAAATTTCTCATTCTAATTTTTTTTTTAAATTTAGTTTTTTTTTTGTTGAAGCCAAAAATAAATCAAAAAATAAAAATAAATAAATAAACAAACAAACCCCAAGCAATCACTTACTGGTTAAATAAATCTCCCTCATGGCAGTCATTTTTAAATTTTTTTTTATATTCAAGTAGTCAATGAAAGAGTCGCAGTCACTCGAATACTAAAATTCTCACATTCTTAATGTCCCAGTGGATATCTACATTGACCACTTGGCCAACTGTCTTTTCCATATGTGCTATAACTTTCACTCTAAAATAAATAAATAAAAGAAGCTAAATTATTGCTATTTATCTAGGAATCTACATTTTTTTTTTTATATTTTCTTTTATCATAGGAGCATTCGTTAGAACGACTCTTAATCAAATTATATCACAAATGATAATAAAATTATGATATTTTGTGCTGTCAGATATAAAAATAAATAAATAAAATTACAGAACACAAGTTCCATTTTTGGTGGCAGGGAGAGGGTTCGGCAATTTTGATTGGAGGAAAGCTTATTTGGATTAAAGAATAACCTAAAATTATGTATATGGAATTATTTAATGACAAAAATAGAAAAAAAAAATTAAGAAAAAAAAACTACAACAAGAACATGTTCTTTATTAAAAAAGCATAATAATACAATTCTGAGTCACAATGGAAATCAAAATACAAATTCATCCCTAACCCCCTGTCAAGACAATACTTGTACAAGATTATTCCAAACAATTAAAAAAAGAAAGAAAAAAGAAACAACTTCTTTCAGAAATTGCTTGTAAGAGGAAAATGTGCACACACACTAACTACTTTGATTTGAACCAGCAGACATAAGCACAAACCTGACCATCTTCTCAAAATTCAAGTAAGATGACCCAATAGAACAAGTCGTGGCCTCTTCACCCAACTTCTCCCACTCAATGACCTTTCTTTTCATCTCTTTCCCCATCTCTCCAGCCATCAACTCTCTCACCATTCTCTCAACTTCCTCTCTCTTAACGTCGCTGTTTATCTCCATCCCTACACCCCATTGGCTGCAACAAGACCAACAATTCGTTTGTTGATCCGCGAAGAATGGCCAACACAACATAGGGACCCCACTGCAAATACTCTCAAGAGTCGAATTCCGCCCACAGTGTGTCAAGAAACCTCCAATTTGATGGATGATTGAGGACTTGTTCTTGAGGGCACCAACTTGCTCATAGACTCCTTTCTTTAGTCTCACTCACAAAATCTGGTAGAAGAATTGCCAAGTCACCAACAATCAGATCAGGCCTAATGATCCATAAGAATGTGTGGTTGCTATTAGCGAGACCCCAAGCGAATTCAATCAACTGTTGGGCTGTCATAACAGTAATGCTACCAAAGTTGATGAAAACGATAGAGTTGGGTTGTTTCGAGTCAAGCCATGAAAGGCACTCTGTTTCCTCTTTCCATATACTTGATCCAATGGAATTCAAGTGATTTTGTGAGTATTGGTCGAGGAGAAACTGAAGAGGGCTAATGGGGTGTATGGGTGGGTACATTGTTGACAATGCTTCTAAAACGTCATGTTCTAAAGCGTCGAAGGTATTGCAAATGATGGCCGAAGCTTCGTGTGCTTTGTCAATTGCTTCCAAAACGAAATGAATCATGAAATTCAGTTCAGTGGCTCGAATGAAACTTGGGAGATCCTTCAATCGTATGCCATTCATGCCTGGTATCCAATCTATCAGTGTCTAGGTAACCATTTGTTAAATAACTTGCATCTGCATTTTTGAAGAAAAAGATTACAGTTAGGAAAATATTAGTACATAAATGGATAGTCAAGCTACAATATACTTGGTGTATACTATATGTACAAGTACGAATTAAAATAATGTTAATTACGAAGTATTGTGGTATTTTGTTATAGGCCTTGTTCTGGTGGGCCCCAAATCTATTAGAAATTATATCCAATATGGTGTCGGATATGACCAAAGTAGTCGTGATGTTTCAAATTGACGTTAGTTACAACCTAATTTTGAGTATGATCAATGGTTACGTTTATTTTTTAGATTTAATGAAATGTATATAAAATGTTCCTTTTTTTAAAAAGCATATAATAAATTTTTGAGTTAAATTTATTTTACCCCTTGTAGTTTGGAGCTAGAGAACTTTACTTCCATATGACTCGCTTGTTTTCAGAGATAAAATAGAAAAGATTTATAATGAGAGATTTAATAATGAAGAGATTGTTAGTGAGGAGATTGATAGTGAGTGGATTAAGTAAAATTGTATTTGTTTTGATGATAGTTGTTAGTGTAAATATTGTTAACTTATTTTTATATAAAATAATAGAACAAATAAAAAAATACAAAAAACATTAAACATTAATGTTTTAAAAAAAAATGCCCAACATGTAAAAAATTTTAAAAAAATAAAAAATTTCAGGTAAAAAATAAAACAAATAAAATAATGATTTTACTTAACAAAAAATACAAAAAATTAAACATTAATGTTCAAAAAAAAAAAATGCCCAACATGTAAAAAATAAAAACTAAAAAATTTCTAGTCCAACAAACTATTTTTCTAATATCAAGTTTTGGAGACCCATCCGAATCTCCTTCCTAAGGGGATTCATAATTCGGAGCTCACTATCAATCCCCTTCCCATCTCTCAAAAGAAACACAATGTTAGTGGGTTCCACCTCACTTCCAATCTCAATTCTCCCTCTAACTCTTCAAACAAATGGAGCCATATGGTTCAAATATAACCAGAAAATTCACATGTGATTTTGTGCTAAAGTATCAACGATAGATTTTCCATACAAATTAATGGAAGATGTATCACACACACCATTTATGAAAGTGGGATTGGTTTTATCAAAAAATAATGTGAAATTATTACAATAAAAAGACAATTTTATCCTCATTTTCTTCAAACCTAAAATTAGATTAATGTGTTAATTAAAATAAAATAAATTAAAAAATAATTAAGGATTGATCTAAAATATAAAATAATTAAATATTTAGAATTAATTGTGATCTAAAATATAATTAAATTAAAATTAGAATAAAAAGTTAAGAATTATAACAAATAAATAAAAAACTGCAATGATTGTGATTTAATTGAATTAGTGTTAGATATATATTATAAATTATGTGTATATGAGAGAGAGAGAGAGAGAGAGAGAGAGAATATGATTTGAGGATATTATAGTCATTTTGCATCTATAGTTAACAGTGTTAATAGTTTCACTTTGGTTTAAAACCACATAAAAAAATTTCGACTATAGTAAATCGTAAGGGGTAAAATGCTTTTACTTCAAACTATAAAGAAGTAAAATGAATTGTACCCTACATTTTTTTTTTTAATAAAGGAATGAAAATATTTAGAATTAAATTCATTTTACTTCTTTGTGGTTTGAGGTCAAATCACTTTACCCCCATTTGGTTTAAATATAATCCGAAACCTCCATGTGATTTTGAACAAAAATGCAACCTTTAAAGCCATTAACTATAGATATGAAATGATTGTAATACACTCAAATCTTACATATATATTTGTTATTTTATTTCTCTCTCATCTTTCAAACACATAATTTACAATATCCAATATTAATTCAATTAAATCACAATTAATTATAAATTTTAATTATTTCTTGTAATTCTTAACTTTTTATTCTAACTTTAATTTAATTAAATTTTATGTCACAATTGATCTTAAATGCTTAATTATTTATTTTAATTCCTATATTTTAAAATTAATTTTAATTTAATTGTATTTTCATAATTAATCCTAAATTTTTAGTTATTTATTGTAATTCCTAACATGTTAATCTAATTTTAATTTAAAGATATTTTAGATCAATTTTTAATTTTTAATTATTTTTAAATTTAATTTAATCATATTTTAAATCAATTCTTAATTATGTTTTGTATTTTAGATCAATCATTAATTATATTTTGTTTTGTTTTATTTTAATTAACATAATAATCTAATTTTAAGTTTGGAAAAAATGTGGGTGAAATCATATTTTTGTTGTATTAATTTCATTTTTTTTTTTTTGGAAAAACAAATCTACTTTAAAAATTAGTGTGTGTGATACACCTTCCATTAGTTTAGATGAAAAAATTAATAGTAATACTTTAATCCAAAATTACATCAGAACTTTCTAAAATGGTTTAGCCTCCAAACCACAAGTGTAAAATAAATTTAACCACTGTAATTATGCCACATAAAATAATGAATAAAATCTCTAGCCCACCAATTGGATTGGAGGGTCCCATAATGGGTCCACCTCAAATCCATTTCATTAGTTTAAATTGTTTAATTTTTAGTCTTTTTGATAATTGTTATGTACAAAAATATGATTTAATGGATTTTGATAATCACATATTTAAATCAAATTTTTTTAAAAAATGTTATTACATTTTTAATAAATTTTTTTTTTTTTTACATTGATTTTTTATTTTCTGTTGGGGGTCGTGTAGTTGACGGGAATGGCATGGGAGTGGATGGTGTAAAAATTGTAGTAGATGGTCATGAAAGGTCTATCACTGACAAAGACGGATATTACAAGCTCGACCAGGTAATTTGATGAGTGTGCTCATGATGAATCACATGATCACATGTTCTATTCCCCCTTGCGGCCCCAACCCATCTCTCTCTCTTGTCACCTTTTATGGCTTATTAATTGGTACACTAGATTTCTATCTTCCTATAATGTTGATTTTATTGTTTCATCTTCTTTTGATTATATACTTTAGCTGAACTCTTAATCAGTAAGGCCTTGTATTCCAACTAATTGGTCTCTCTGTTTCTCGTTTGGTCTTTTGTCAATCACTTGATATGATAGTTAGTATCCGGAAAGGTCTATGATTCTTAGGAGAGCACATCATTTTATTATGTCAGAGAGCATTAATTCACACAAACTGTAATATTTCATACTTGTGGTTCTTCTGTTCTAGTTGTTTTGATTGGTGTAGTTGTTGAATGTTTGTAGGTTACCTCCAGTTGCTATTTGATAGAAGCGAAGAAGGAGCATTACACATTTGACAAACTCAAGGACTTTTTGGTAAAGTTAATCAACAGCTTCATTTATTTGAACTAATTATAAGATTGATCTATTCTTGAGGGCATTAAAGATGCATTTTTTCTTAAATGTATTTGAAAATTTACTGCATCTATACTTTGTATCAATTCTGTTTTTTGCTATCACGACTGACTGTTGTCGTTTCCTTTTATTCATTTGTAATGAATATGAATCATTAGGTGTTGCCAAACATGGCTTCAGTTGTGGATATTAAAGCAGTCTCGTATGATGTCTGTGGCATTGTTCAGATGATTAGTTCTGGTTACATGGCAAAGGTAATTTCAAATCTTTTGTTTTATTCTTCAAAGTGTGGTTGCAATGTATTAGGTTTGAGTAGATGTGTCTTGCCTTTGCTTCTAATTTTCCTGTATCAATTCCAACTTTTTTTTCTTCTAAGTATGAGTGGTTACCGCAATTTGAAAAGAGGGGAGAGTTTGGTAATTGCACTTAGTACTTATCTGGAGTCATGGTATGGTAGCAAAGACTCTTTTGATAGTGTGGTGGCAGTTGGTGGTAGCAGCAGGGAGTTGTTTGTATGAGCTGGTGATTTAGTAACGGTGGTGTTGTGTGAATGAGACTTAGTGTTTCCAGAATTGGAGGTAGATTTGGTGGCAGGGCAGATATGGTAGTGGTAGTTTTGTAGAGACTGGATGTGATTTTGGTGGTTGAAAATGTTTTGGTTGTTTTGGCCCTTGGGGAGATGCTGGTTGTAGTGGCAGATGTCCCAAGAGTGGTGTGTCCAGCGGCTGTTGTAATGGTTGCTGTGGTGGTTGGATAAAGCCTTATTTCCTCTCTTCCTGATTTTTGTTTTTTATTTTTGGTTTTGTTTGAAGACATTATTTTCCTTTTTGTTTGTTTGAAACAAGGACCATGTGTGGGCCTTTAGTATTAAAATTTGCAACAGATATGAGCTTAATTATTTTTTATGTTTGTCTATGTATGGATACTAGGTAGCCTTGACTCATGGACCAGAGAATGTTAAGCCTCGAGTTAAACCGACTGATGAGAGTGGTAGTTTCTGCTTTGAGGTATGTTGACACTGGTGTCAAGAGATTTTTCCTTGGTCTTCAGTTTCTGCTTCTACTTTTGCATTATATTATGACTTCATGACATAGTCACATTTATTGAGTGTTGTGATATTTTTGTTTGTTGTGAAGCTTTAGGAGTTTTTGAAAATTCTGTTGTAATCATTTTGATCAAATTGAATCCTAACTTTTGCAGATGAGCAAGCATTCTTTTCTTTTGTGCATTGATTCGTCCTTGTCCTTTCAGTGATGAAAGTTAAGCTTTGCTTTATTAAATCAGTTATATCACTTTCTGATCGATCACATTGTGTTTCAGGTTCCATCTGGTGAATATCGTTTGTCTGCTTTAGCAGCCAACCCTGAGAGTTCTCCCGGACTTCTGTTTTTGCCAACTCATGTTGATGTTGTGGTTAACAGTCCAGTACTGAATGTTGAATTTTATCAGGTGATTTTTCTCAAAGCTGGATATGTTAATGTTGCTTTTGTTTTTTTATTAGTGTGTAATATAGTCCCTTTTAGATTATTTGAAATTAGAAATTCTATATACTTTGCACATAGCATCCAACCTTTGGTTACTCAATCCCAGTAATCTTGTCATATTATTATGGCACAGAGAAGAGAAGACAAATCAATTTTCAAGCGGAAAAAATATCAAGTTGTTTGTTAGCACAGATAGGATTATCTTAAAATGGTATCTCTCTTGAAATCCACTGTATGAATCAGGATTTCTGACAATGAGCTTGGATCTTAGTTCTAAGACTATTCTGAAACTACATGCTATAGAGTGGTCCAAAGGGAGAAATATTTCAATGTTAGTTGGGATAGGATTTAATTGGTTCATTTCTGCACACTGTATGTGAAACTTCTTAAAAATCTTACTTAAAAATCTTATTTATTGCTCTCAAAATTTAGGCACAAGTGAATGTTCTTGGGGAAGTAGCTTGCAAGGAGAAATGTGGCTCATCGGTTTCTGTCACATTTGTAAGGTTGGACGGCAAAAGTAAAGAGGAGAGGAAGACAGTTTATTTGACTGATGAGAGTAGTGAGTTTTTGTTTCCCAATGTTTTCCCTGGGAAATACAAGCTTGAGGTACTGTGCTCAATTTTTGCTCTTTTTATTTTGAATTTATTGTGTGTATCTTATTGTTTTCCTTGCTATAATTAGGGATGAAAGGGCATGCATCCAAAAAATGCTTTTGTATAAATTGTGAGTTTTTACTTGGTTTGAACCTGAACTATTGTGAGCTACCACCATGGTATGCATTGCTTTTATCACATCTTGTTCGTCCCAAGCTATGTAAAATATACCTGCTAGTGCCTAACTCTGTCCATTTAAGTCAGAAGCTATGTTCTGTGGGGATATTTATTGACAATTGACATTTCATCCCCTTCAGAGCTTTGAGCCCAGGGGGAGTTTGAATCTGTGATTAGTTGCCGACCTGTCATTGCTAGAAAAGCTAGGTTCACCTCATTCATTTTCCTTAAACCAATGCCTCTGTCATATATTGGCAGTGCCCTCAGCTTGCGATGTCCAATACCCTACATCTGTCTGTTCACATTCTCGCATAACTCTTCAAAGAAGTCATTAAAGTTTCTAGTTCCTGAAGACTTCTCTGCTATTTAGACTACTGAGATAACAACTTTAAGTGAACCTCAACTTCAATTGCTTGTTAGTTTCTGATTACTGATCAATGCTTTCATTTTCTAGGTGAAGCACACTTCTCCTGGAGAGATGTCAGGAGAAGACCAGTGGTGCTGGGAGCAGAGCTCTATCACTGTGGAAGTCGGCACAGAGGATGTAAAAGGGATTGCCTTTGTGCAGAAAGGTTATTGGGCCAATGTTATTTCTACCCATGATGTAGATGCCTACATGACTCAACCTGATGGTTCCTATGTGAATTTGAGAATTAAGGTTATCTCAGTACCCTAAAGCTTTTCTATCTTGAAGCTCACTTAAACTATTATAGAGCTGCTCTTATTCCGTTGTGGAAGTAAATTTTGGTTTTTATTTTTTCTGTGGACTGCAGAAAGGTTCCCAGCAGCTATGTGTAGAATCTTCTGGAGTGCATGAACTTCAGTTTGTTAACTCATGTATTTTCTTTGGAAGCTCATCTATGAAAATTGATACATCAAATCTATCAGTATGGGGCCTATTTTATTTTTATTTCCCATGTTACTTTAATGTCATTACTAAAAGCATTTTTGTTTTGTTTTGTTTTTCCTCTTCCTCTTATTCCACTCTTGTTCTTTTTGCAGCCTATCTATCTAAAAGGAGAGAAATACCTCCTTGGAGGACAAATCCATGTTGATTCAAGCTCACTCGATGGTGTTTATGAATTACCTGAGAACATACTGGTTGACTTAGTAAATAATGAGGGTCCTCTTCTGGATGGTACTGTTGCCAGACTTGTTGGTAGTGGAAATGATCAATCAGGTTTTGTCGTATATGAGTATTCAGTGTGGGCTAATCCTGGAGAAAAACTTACTTTTGCTCCTCAGGACTCACGGTACATATATTGTAGTAGTCTTACTTGATAACTTAGTTATTCTCACTAATCATTTGCCCAACTATTAGAAAAATGTATACCCTATGTCATTGGGA